TTTTTTTTTTTTTTTTAACATCTTTATTGGAGTATAATTGCTTTACAATGTTGTGTTAGTTTCTGCCGTATCACAAAATGAATCAGTTATATGTATACCTATATCCCCATGTCCCCTCCTTCTTGTACCTCCCTCCCACCCTCCCTATCCCACCCCTCTAGGTGGTCACAAAGCACTGAGCTCATCTCCCTGTGCTATGCGGCTGCTTCCCACTAGCTATCTATTTTACATTTGGTAGTGTATATATGTCCATGCCACTCTCTCACTTGTCCCAGCTTACCCTCCCCCCGCCCCATGTCCTCAAGTCCATTCTCTACATCTGCGTCTTTACACCTGTCCTGCACTACTGGGCATACACCCTGAGAAAACCATAATTCAAAAAGAGGCTATTCTTAATTAATCAATCAAGGCAAGGTCAGTGAAGAATAGACTCCAGGAAGCCTTCCAGAACCAAACAGCCCCAGGGATCCTTCTCACCTACCTTATTTGATATGTAATCTTACTTTCCTTTGTTCTCTAAATTTTACGAGTCTCAATTGGAAAGCCAAGCAGCACAACCCAGGAAATAATAAGAGGGAGAGCTAAGAAAGTAGCTGGTCCAATATCCCATACTGATGTCAAGAAGTGTGAAAATGCACATTCAGTTGGAAACCAGAGCCAAATAAAGAAGATGCTGATTAGCTAATTAGCAGGCAAAGAGGGCGGGGTTTGGAAAAGAAAGAGGCTGCTGTGGTGTAGAATTGTCTCAGAAGGCCTTGGCAAGGTGGTGGCATTTGAGCTGGACCCCAGAAGTCCTGAAGTAAGCAGGGGAGGGGAGAGGACTGTAGGCAGATCCTTGTGATTGTGAGTCTGTGGCCCCTCATGCCATATTGCCCTTTCTCACCTGCTGGTCCTCCCTGTATGGGAACTGGCTAAAACTCGGTCGCCTGTAGTGTAGGCCCGTGAGGCTGAGGACGGCTTGGTAATTGCTGCCAGCACATTTGTTAGCCAAGCCAAAGACAAACGGATAGGGTCTCTTGGGCTCCGTGGAGTGGGCCTCCTGGGTGCGCAGGGTGGCTACGAGCTTTCTGAGGGAAGAGTCTGAGAGCTTGTAAAAAAACTTCTTAAAGCTGGGGTGTTGCCTGATCTGGAAGCAGAAATGAAGGCAGGTCATCAGTGTTGCCAGTAGGGAGCCCCCTCCCCACATCATCTCCCTCCCCCAACTCCATGCAGCCAGGCTGGGTGCCTCATTGTCCCTGGGACAAGCATCCCTTGTTAAATTCATCCACCATCCCCAGCCTCTCAGAATCTGTTCTGCAAGGTACAGCTGCACCAGCAGAACAAAGTGGGGGAGAAAAAAAAAATGTAGGTCTTTGGATTCAGATAACAGATGCTTAAATAGCATTTACTAGCTGTGTGACCGCTCATGTGTAAAATGGGGGTAATATGTGCCTCCCCGACACTGTCGTTGGGGGGAGGAGATTAAGTGAGATAGTTTAATGTTTTGTGCAAAGTGGATGTTGGATGAATTTTAGTTCCCACCCTAAGCCTCCTCCTCTTAATACCTAAATGTCTTAGGTTGAGCTCCCCCCGGAGGCAGACCCAGAGACCAGGACTCGGATGCAGCTCACTTATGTGGTAAGTGATCCTGGCAAACGCAGATGGGGGAATGGAGACCTGGGGCAAGAATGGGAAGGCATCCCACTCAGGCTGGCAGCTGAGCCTGATCCCCTTGGGGCACTCTGGGAACCCTCGAAGAACACACACCACAGAGTTATCCCTCCAAGGGATAAGGGGGCTGGGGTATGTGGCATCAGCCAGTGGTTGAGGGCTGCTCCTGGGGAGGTGGAAAGTGCTCATTCTGGCCTAACCTGTGGGTGGTAAATGGCTCTGGGGGCCAGTCCTCAGGCAAAGGGATGCAGGTACTGGCAGTTGGGAGCTGAGCCAGGTGCTCTGTGGTGGTAAGGAGAGGCCCTAACAAGGTCAGCTACACTGATTACTCATCTCTGACTTGTGCTCACACCTAACTTCTCTTCATATGTGATCTACGTTTGTCTCTCCAAGTAGTCTGTGAGGTTTCCAAAGGCAGGGAACCTTATGTTACACCCTACCTAGCAAGGGAAGAATAAAACTCTAATAAAAGTTTGAAAGAATTGGAGACCTTATAATTACTGAAGTGCGTGCCAAAACAGAGTGAAAGGCAGATAGCAGAGGACGAGATCAGCGGGACTCAGGGACGGAGGCTTCCTGGGAGGTGGCTCATGAACTGAACTTCAAGGAGGATTTGGACTAGGGGAGGTCCCGGCTGGCAGGGGGAGCCACATAGGTTTATATTATTTTTAAGTTAACATTGATCTCATCTGCTATGTGTCTGGCATTTTCTATATATGCACTAACCTTGGCAAGTAGGTATTTATCCCCCATTTTGCAAAAGAGAAAACAGAGGCTCATAGAGGTTAAGGGGCCTACCACGGTCACCCAGATGCAAAGATGGTGACTGAACTTGGGTCCAGTCCTTGTGGAGACTGAGCAATCCTCACCTGCTCCCCCAACTGGCCATCCACTTCTTGGAGAAGGGCCACCAGCTTCTGGATGATCAGCTCCTCTAAGGAAAATAAAGAAGGATTTGAGGGATTATTGACATGTTGTTGTGTAATAACCCATCCATCGATTGCAGAAGTATTTTGTCTCTAAAACACAGTACACAGATTAGATATGAAGAGGGCAAAGAAAAATCTTCCCCTAAACTAGAGCTGGAGCATGTGAGCTTTGTTTTGGTTATAGCTGTATAGAAATCGAAGGCAGTTCGGCCTGCCGAGCCTCACCTGTCACCACATTCAGCTCCATTCTGACAGGTGGGGAAACTGAGACCTTATCCAGGCTACAGAGTAGTCAGGAATGGGAGCTGGGACCAGGAACAACTCCTCAGAATGTAGGGAGGGCAAATGCCATGGCTACTGATGCAACAGGAATGTACCATCAGCCTGGGCTATATACAGCAACGTGCAGGTGGCTGCTTGCACCGAGTTAATTGTAAATACTCAGGACATTTATGGACCTGTTGTTATAAACTGTCAGCAGCTTGAAATTGGCCGTGGTGGGAATTTTATACCACAGAAATCTGCAAATGCTACAAATCAGGGCTTCCCCCAATCCCCCCGCCCTTACCCAGAGTTTGTTTGCCAGTGCGCCACTGGTTATGAGACCCAGAGCAAGACAGGAATTTTATATGAAACATTCAGGCAAAGCAATGGCATGTGGTGGGGGTGAAATTACATCCCACAGAATGGACAGGTATTCTCTACCTGAAGAAGGTTGTCCACCTGCAACCCTGCCCCACCAGCGCCTGTTCAAAGGCCAACCCTGTCTCCGCTCTGCCCTTCTGGAGTCTCCTGGGGTACTTGTCAGCTGTCTTCCCAGTTCGCTACTAGGATTCAGGCTGTGAAATCCATGCAAAAGGGAAGCCCCGGGGAAGCTGTCCCAGGAGAGGGCAGGGTGGCACTAACTAGATTCATTTGCTCCATCTGGCTGAGGTCCTGCTTCTGGCTTGTGGCTTCTGGCCTGGGAGGGTGCTTCTGAGGATCCAACTGGCCCCCCTTCTGCAGGCGAGGACTCCTGGAACTCCACATCCTCCGGATCTGAGGGCAAAGAGGAGTTGGTGTAAGTGTGTTTGCACCTGTCTCAAATCCACCAGCACATCACTGAACCCAGGTTCTGACAAGAAGCTGTCCAAAGGCTCTGGCTCAAGAAGGGTCCTGGTTTCCCAGCCTCCTTGGGAACCCCCAGCCCCACTGGACCTGCCTCAGAGGAGTTCACAGTGCTTTTTGCGCCTCCAGAAATCTCATTCTTTCTTCCAACCACCCCCTTTGCCTCCTCATGGTCTGGGAGGAAAACAAGCAGGCCTACCAACAGGTCCCACCAAGTGAGCCCACTTCCCCTTTAACTCTGCGAGCCTTTGCCGAGTCACTTAGCCTGTCTGAACCTCACTTTCTCCATCTGTCAAATGGGAGCAACAGGACTGACCTCACAGGGTTGTGAGTGGGGGTGTTAAATGAGATAATATGTGTGAATGTGGCAGGCAGTGGGCACTCCGTAAATGTCAGGAGAATTGTTGTACACCAGTGTTCCACATAATTCGGTGTAGTGAAAAAACAGAGGCCCAGGCCATATCCTACTTCATCTAACCTGGGTTTCTGTTCTTCTATGAGCTTTCCAGGTGATTCTGATGCATGTGTCTGAGGAACAGATGCACTGCTCTCATACCACATTTGTTTTTAGGTGTTTATGGTGGTGGGGGGGAGGGAAGCTGTGTGTCATAGGGGTGGGTCCTGGCAGCAGCCGGCCCCTTTCTCCTCTCCACAGCCCTCCCACACCTCCCCACTCTGCTCAGAGCAGAGAGTGAAAGTCAAGACTGCACAGGACACCAAGCAGCTGGCCGACCCTGCTCTGGAGAAGCCTAGGGGCCAGAGGCAGCCTCTGTTACCATGGCAACCCCAGGCCTGCTCACCAGGGTTGCTGGAGATAGAGGGCCGATGGCCACCAACACACAGGGGCAGAAAGCTGGGCCTCTTTGGCGGCCGGGAGTCTGGGCTGGCAGCACCTGCAGCACCCCCTCTCTTGGGCTCCTTGAAGCCATGTTTCTTATGAGAAAAGGCTTTTCTGAAACTGGACTTTTTCTCTTGTGATTTCTTCCTGGAGGTTGGGGCCAGGTTTCCTACAGCCACTTCTGGCTCCTGGACTTGAAGTTGCTGTGGGAGAGATAAGAGAAACTGAGTCAGGGTCCCTTACTTTGAGGAGGTTACAAGTGAGCGGAGGAAAGAGACCATCGCCTGAAACAAACTGAGACCCACTATGGACGAGAGGGTATGGCCGGGGGAGAAGGGTGATTGGTGCTCAGAGCTGGGGAAACAAGTACAGCCTGCAGCGGTCAGAGGAGGCTCTGGGAAGGAGAGACTGGAGCCAGGCTCTGGCAAGATGTAGAACTGGGGGAGGGGCAGGGAAGTTATTGTGCCAGGTAGGGGTGGGGGTGTCCATAGTGAGGGTCAGGGTCTACACGGGGAATGTCTTCCTCACCTTGTCTCCCCGCTGCTCCTCTGCATCTTGGAGTAGGTCAAGGATCTTCTGGATAAATTCTAAAAAAGAACAAAGCGGTTGCTCACACTTGTGTGTTGAGAAAAGCCTTTCTGTGGTCAGTCTTCATTTCCTAAGGCCCAATGGCTCCCTGGATGATTCTCACAGGTCTCCAGGGTGGGGTGCTAATGAGCTTGCCTTTAAGGTTGTCTCAGGCCCAACCCATGGGGACCACAGATTCCTCAGAGGTAACCTGCAGGCAGAGCTGGCTTCATGGGAACATATTCACTTATTCATTCACCACTGAGGAAGGGCCTAGATGTGCCTTGTTAGGTGCAGGAAACAGCCGAGGCCCCTGCCTCCAGGAGAAGGTGTCTCAAGACCATAAGGAAAGGCCTGGTCCCCACAAGTCCCCTCACCCCGCTCTTTCCTCCTCTTCTAGGTAGAACAAGGGCCCTTCTCAATTCCCCTTCAAGGCACATTTTCTGTGAAAAGCAAACAAGGCAGAATGGGGGAGGTAGGGGAAGTGGATCTTCAGACACACAGAACTGACCGTGATTATATGATCTTAGGCTCGGCTCTGCCAATGATAAGATAATAATAATAGTGATGGCAGCTACCATTGGTTCAGCTTCTCTCCTAAGGCCCCTACCCCCTTTCCTATCCTCTTTACTTCTCCTGAGGTTATGTTCTCAAGCTGGGCTACATGACAACAACACTAATAGTCACAATAAATGGCAGCTGACATTTATTAGCTGCTCATGGGTACTGCTCTAAATGCATTATCATCATTAATTCATTTAGAGCCTCCAACAACTCTAGAGAGTCGGTACTATTCTTATCCCCATTTTACAGATGAGGAAACTGAGACCAGAGATGAAGTAGCTTGTCCAAGATCACACAGCTGGAGAGGTCAGAGCCCAAATTTGAATCCAGGCCCAAAGATCGTACCATCTATCGAGCCCTTGCCATGGGCTGATGCTTTCCTTGTATCGCCTTATGTTGGCCTCACCAAGGACGATGTTATCACTGTTGTGGTTTTACAGCTGAGACTCAGACAGAGTAACATCAGCCTGGCTCGGGGCCTGTGCTCTGGACCCTGAGCTGCCTCCGCAGCCTGCAGGTAAGGACAGGTCACTGCCTCTCTCTGGTTCAGTTTCTCTTCTGCAAGTAGAGGGGTCAGACCAGACATCTTCCAAGGGGCCTCTGAGAAAAGGAGAGGGGGTACTGACTGAATTCCGAGGCTCTGTCCAGCTGCAGGTCCTCTTCGGGTCCCCGGCTTCCTGCTGGGTTGGAAAGCTCGAAGGGACTTGGATCCCCACCGTCTGTAGACAGAGCCTCTTGGACCTCAGGTTCTTCCACACCTGAGAAGCAAGAGGAAGTGGTGAGTGAGCTTCATCAGTCTGAGGGTGTTAACTAATGCACAGAAGTCAGCAGAGACTCCAAAGTGCACTCCGTGGCTAGTGCATGCAAAGGCCTTGCTGGGGTGGCGGGGAACTGCTGGGCAGGGCCGTGGCTCTGAAGTACTGAAGAGCCAGCTCCCTCAACCCTTTGCACTTCCATACAGCTGCCTTTCCTGGGCCTTGCTCCCCTCTCCTCCCTCCCCTGGAGACCTCATCCCTCCACCATCTTGACTTGATCCATGAATTGGAGAGTAAATGCCTGATGCCCTGGCACGAATTAAACTCATCACAGCCAGGATCCCCCTACATGAAAATGTCTCCCCTTGTGGCCTGAAATCCCACCACTGGGGATCCACTATTTGGTGTTAAACATTGCCTTCTCCTTTTTAAAGTATACATTCTTCTGGCCAAGATGACCTGCTGGGCTGTTCCTCCCTGACACCCAGGCTGACCCTTTCTCCCTGTAGCTCTGGCTCCATCACTGATGGGCCATGTGACCACAAACACATTGTTTTACCTCCCTAAGCCTCAGTTCCCTCGTCTGTGAAATGAGGATAATAAGACGTAATTCGTAAAATGAGGACTGATTGCATATAGATACACAGCAGGGAAGTGTCTCATTTTACAGGCAAGGAGATTGAGGCACAGAGATGGAGCCCAGAACCCAGGTTTCCTGCCTCCCAGGCTCCAGTTCCTTCCTGCACATGCTACCCCCTGCCAAGGTGTGGAAGCTGAGGCTGCGGAGAGATGAGGATAGTTGGGGGAAATCCCTGAACACGATTTCCACCAGGGGCTTAGCTGGGTTGCCTAGACAGTGAGGCTTCGTGCGTGGAGGTATCCCTTCTGCCCTCCCCACACTGCTCAGGGCAGAGCAAAAGTCAGAACTGGGATGGCAGCTCTGAAAATGGCCAGTGCAAGCCTTGGGGAAGGTTCCAGCGCAGTAGGCAGCTGCAGTGTTGCTGTGGTAACTGTGAGCCTGCTCACCTGGGCTGCTGGAGCTGGAGGGCCGATGGCCACCAACACACAGGGGCAGAAAGCTGGGCCTCTTGGGCGGCCGGGACTCTGGGCTGGAAACATCTGCAGCCCGTGCTCTCTTGGGTTCCTCAGAACCATGTTTCTTATGAGAAAAGGCTTTCTTGAGGGTAGACTTTCTCTCTTGGGGTTTCTTCCTGAAGCCTGGTGCTGGGTTTTGAGGAGCCACCTCTGGCTGAGGGGCTTGACGCTGCTGTGGGGGAGATGAGAGAAACTGAGTCAAGCCCCTGACCTTGAGGAGAGGGGAAAGCTCCCCAAGAAGCACCTGAGGGGCAACCAAGGGCTTCAGGGTGGCCCCAGGCAAGGGAGGTGACAGAGCCTGGAGCAGGGGAGCGCTGAGGCCCAGAAGGACAGGTGGGGCTCGAGCAAGGAGGAGGAGGGGAAGGCAGCAGGCCCCTGGGCATCTGTGCAGACAGTTTGCACCTCACCTCTTCTTCCCACTGGTCTCCCACTTTTTGGAGCAATTCCACTATCTTCTGAATGATGGTATCCTCTGGAAGAAAACAAATGCACCCAGTTAATCTTTCTAGATGCACAGGGAATCCTTTCTAATGACTGTCTTGGAGTTCTGAGACCAACTTGGGCCTCCAGGGTCCTCTTAAAACAACTCCTTTAGCACGGAAGGTGGGGTGTGGGAGAAGCACCACATTCCAGGGTCTGGTCCTTCTGAGAGAGGCTTGGAAGATCCACAGGCGAAGGGTACGAGGCCAAAGCATGAAATTTTATGCAGGAAGTTTCAAGTCAGTCCTTCAAGCATTCAACTTGTGCCCCATGATTTCCTTTGAACATTGCAGATCTGTGCATATCTACTTGGGGTTTGACAAGCTGTGTGACCTTGGGTAAGTCTCTTAATCTCTCTGGGCCTTCATCTCTTCCTCTGTGAAGTGTGGATCATAATCCCCGTCCTGGTTCCCTCAGAAGGCTGTCAGGCCATCAAATGAGAGACTGTGCTTGGAAATACTTTGCAAGGCTAATGTTGATCCAACCTACAAAATTCCAGCAGGGGAAATGATGGAGACGAGGCCTAACTAAGCTGGACAGAGGCACTCCAGCAGGTATGACACAGGTAGCCTGCCCCGTTGGTGCCCCAACTACACTGCCAAGGCTTTACAGAGAAGCCCAAACAACATAAATGGTTTTCTTTGATATTCCAGTCGACCTACCCAAAGACAATGTGCCCAAAGGAGCCTCTGCTTAGTTGCCAGCTGATCAGTTTACACAAAAGAAGGTGCAAACAAGATTCCCTCTTCCCAGGCTATCTGCAGGTTTTTTCACCCCTCTCTTCTCTCTCATTTCTAAATCCTGTTAGGCTTTTGTACTTTGACTCAGTCTACCTGACAACTGCAAAATAACCAATTAAATGCCTTTTCGCTGTTCTTTGACAGATGCATAGCTTCTCCATTTCATATCATTTAAAATATGCCCATTCTTGGGACTTCGCTGGTGGCGCAGTGGTTAAGAATCTGCCTGCCAATGCAGGGGACACAGGTTTGAGCCCTGGTCCGGAAAGATCCCACATGCTGTGGAGCAACTAAGCCCGTGAGCCACAACTACTGAGTCTGTGTTGTAGAACCTGCGAGCCACAAGTACTGAGCCCGCATGCCACAACTACTGAAGCCCGTGCACCTAGAGCCCGTGTTCTGCAAGAAAAGAAGCCATCGCATGAGAAGCCGGCAAACCGCAACAAAGAGTAGCCCCCGCTCGCCGCAACTAGAGGAAGCTCACGCACAGCAACGAAGACCCAACACAGCCAAAAATAAGTAAATAAATTAATTCATTTAAAAAATAAATAAAATATAAAATAAAATATGCCCATTCTTTGTAGGGAATTAGATTAATACAGCATTATTTCTTTTATTAGGGGCAATAACAAGACTATGATTGTGTATGAGACTGTTCTTATTTCTTGCAGATACGTGCTTAAGATTTAAGGTTGAAGCATCATTTTACTTAGAATGGTTCAGCAACAAAATTATACACACACGAAGCAAATATGGCCAACTGTTAACAATTGTGAGTATATGAGTGTGCATAGAACTGCTCTTTCCACTCTTCTCTATGTTTAAATATATATGTATATATATATATGTGTATGTATATATATGTATATATTCCTTCTATAAGTTTAAAATGACTAAAAAAAAAAAGTCCCATGCTCAACACACAAGGCAGGAGCATTTGCCAGCAGGCAGTCTGATTCCTGAGACTCCCTTCTGTGAAACTCTAATGTAAATGTGACCAGAAGCACCAGAACTAGTGAGATCAGCACACACATTTTGAGAGGTCTAAGCATCCAAGGTCTAAGCAGGCCTCGGGAGCATTTCACTTCGTTTGCTAACAGCTGCCCCAGCTGCAGGCAAAGAGGGCACTAAGAAGATTCTGACTCACTGTCAGGTTTTCCGAGCTCCTCTTCCCCCTGGTGACCTGTGGCTTGGGAAGAAACCTTCCGGACTCCAGCACCTCCACCTTCAAGAAGGGAGAACTGGCGGAGGTCAGAAACTTCCCCTCCTGTAATAAAGATGAAACCAAGTGAGTGGGGCAGTGTGTGGGTGTCAGTGACATTCTTCCAACTTTGTTAATCAACACAATAAAACAGCATAGAATTCACAGCAGGAGAGGGACTGCTGGAGCAGCTCTAGGCTTAACCAAAAAAAATCAGAAACCCACCGAGGTTTCCATTTGAAAAGAGGCTGCCTCTACCCAGACATCCTTCCCCCCACCCCCAAAATATCTTGAATCTTCCTTGTGACCCTTCTCCCCCATTAAAAACATGTTGAGTTTTGAGTCCTATAGGGCAAAGCTTCATCTTCCTCCAGCAGCCTGTGGAACATTCAACTCCAGAACGCTAAGCGTCAGAAAAGGAAGGCACCTTGGGGAACAGCTCCTTCATTTTACAAACGAGAATCAAAGGTTCCAGAGAGGGACAGCAACTTGCTCAAGGTCACACAGCAAGTTTATTCCTGATGGAGCCAAGTCTAGAACCTGCACCCCAGAAGCCAGCTGTTTCTATTTCCCTGTTACCCAGCCCCAGTCCTCACATGTAGACTAGTGTTGGAGGGTAGGGCTTCCCTCCTTGATTCCCCTCTGTCTTCCTATTTCTCCCTGGTCCGTGCTCCTCAAACCAGAGTACTTAACAATAACATTTGCCACTTATGAAGCACTTCCCATGTGTCAGCTCTGGGCCATGGCCACCCCCCCGAGATGGCAACTGTTATAATCTCCATTGTATCAAGGGGAAAAAAAAATGGAGGCTCAGAGAGGAAAGTCACCAGCCCCAGGTCACACAGCCAGCGAGTGGTGGAACTGGGGTTTGACCTCAAGTTCTCAGCCACGGTGCTGCTCTGCCTCAGAGAAGTGGTGCTGGACTTCCCTGGTGGCGTGGTGGTTAAGAATCCACCTGCCAATGCAGGGGGACACAGGTTCGTGCCCTGGTCCAGGAAGATACCACATGCCGCGGAGCAACTAAGCCCGTGCGCCACAACTACTGAGCCTGCGCTCTAGAGCCCACGTGCCACAACTACTGAAGCCCACGCGCCTAGAGCCCGTGCTCTGCAACAAGAGAAGCCACCACAATGAGAAGACCTCGCACCCCGATGAAGAGTAGCCCCCGCTCGCCACAACTAGAGAAAGCTCTCGCGCAGCAGCGAAGACTCAATGCAGCCAAAAATAAATGATAATAAATAAAATAAATATTTTAAAAATCTTATTAAAAAAAAAGTGGTGTTGTTCCTGATAGTGGCCCTACCTTCCAAGTCCCCCTCTGTTGAGAGGTTTGAGCAGCCAGCTCAGAGCACCCTAGCCCTTGGGGTGGGGGATGGTGGCTGTGGGGTTACCATAGAAATGGGCATGGTCTGCTCACCCCCAGCTGCTGGGCCCGGAGCAGCCTCCTCGCAGCATGAGGCACCAGCCATCTTGGCCTCCTGCCCTTTGGCCTCCTGATCTCGGATCCCCTTGGTTTCCTCAGCACCATGTTTCTTGTGACCGTGTTTCTTGCGGCTGGCCTTCTTGCTGTGGGCTTTCTTCCTGGGAGCTGGTTCGCCCAGTGTCTCGGGGGTTTCTGCGGGCTCGGGGAGGCCCTCCTTCCCCTTGGCCCTCTTGTTGGTCTTTTCCTTGGGCTCCTCAGGGCCAGTCCCAAATAAGAAGTTCATCATGGCCCTCAGCCAGCCCTGCTGGGCCCGACCCTGGGCCTTGTCCTTCTTGGTGTCCTGCGGAGGCCTCTGCTCACTGGGGAGAAACTCCCTGGTCTCCTCCGGGCTGAGGGCTGCAGCCGTGGTGCCCTGAGCCTCCGCAGACTGAGCTGGGCTCTTGGGACATCTGGCCCCATCGCTGGCCGTCCGGCGCAGCATCCTCCTGGAGGGGCTGGTGGGCCCGGAAATGCACCGGCAGTCCCACGACTCTGAATCCTGCTGGGGGCTCCGCAGCCTGTCCAGAGACCTGGCTCTCCTCCCTGACAGAGGCTTCCTTGGGCCCCGCGGCGGCTCCATGGCACTGCAACCAAAACAGACAACTCCCTTAGAAGAGGCCTCAGAGTCTGCCGGGTGGGCTAGCAGCGCTGACCCATGTGCCCAACCAACCTACCCTTAATGTGAGTACTATCAGCTCTCGAAGCTGTTGTCTCACCTAAATTCCTCAGCATCCCTGGGAGGAAGGGCTACCCTTGTCCCATTTCCCAGAGGAGGAAGCTGATCCACAGCGGGTCATGCCCCAGGTCTCACAGGTAGTCCCCCAGAGCCTCCAGGAGGAACACGGCCCTGCCAACACCTTGACTCTAGTCCATTGAGACTGATTTTGGACTTTTTTTTTTTTTGGCTGCATCGCACAGCTTGCAGGATCTTAGTACCCTGATCAGGGATGGAACCCCGGCCCCCTGAAGTGGAAGTGTGGAGTCCTAACTACCGGATGGCCAGGGAATTCCCTGCATTTGGACTTCTGACCTCCAGAACCAGAAGATAATTGATTCATGTTATTCCAAAGCCACAGAGTTTGTGGTGTTTTGTGACAGCAACAATAGGAAATGAATACAGCTGGAGCCAGAGGCCACGTCCTGCCCCTTGGGACCGCGGGCAGCTCCTGCTGCTTTTCTGGCCCACTGTCTTCATCTGAAATGTGCCTGAGACCTACCTGTCTATCTCACAGGCTGTTAAGAATATTTCACAAGACAGCTCAGTAAACAGCAATTCTGTCCTTCCAAATGCTCAGGTCCAACATTTGAAGTCATCCCTAACTCCTTTCTCTCTCTTGCTCCCCACGTCTGATCCATCAGCAGAGGCTGTTGGCTCCACTTTCAAAGCACACCCGGGGCTTCCCTGGTGGCACAGTGGTTAAGAATCCACCTGCCAATGCAGGGGGACACAGGTCCGAGCCCTGGTCTGGGAAGATCCCACATGTTGCAGAGCAACTAAGCCCATGCGGCACAACTACTGAGCCTGCGCTCTAGAGCCTACGAGCCACAACTGCTGAAGCCCATGCACCTAGAGCCCACGCTCCACAGCAAGAGAAGCCACCGCAATGAGAAGCCCGCGCACTGCAACAAAGAGCAGCCCCCGCTCGCCACAACTAGAGAAAGGCCATGCACAGCAACGAAGACCCAACACAGCCAAAAATAAATAAATTAATTAAATAAATTTTTTTTAAAAAGCACACCTGGCCCCGAACCACATCTCCCCTCCTCCTAGACCCCTCCTGGGTCTAGGCCCCATCTCTGCTCACCTGGACTATTGCAGTCACCTCCTAACTGATCTCCCTGCTCTACCCTTGTCCTCCTTAAGTCCTTACAATGGCCAGCAAGGCCCCACTGACCCGGCCCCATCACCTCTCCCGTCCCCTCTCACTCACTTACTCACTCCACTCCCCTCATGCAGCCCTGCTTGCTATCCCTCAGGCCTGCTGCACCTTGGGTATTCACCCTGGCTGTTCCCTCTTTCTAGACCACCTTACAGTTGTTCCCTCACTTCCTTCAGGGCTCTGCTCAAATGTCACCTTCCCATAGGGGCCCTCCAATTGCACTCCCATTAGCACACCGTCTCCCCCTTTACCGCACCCCCCGATGTTAGGCAATATCATACCTTTCCGTGTTTAGTGGTTTATTGTCTGAGCCTCTCTCCCTCCCCTTTGTCTGTTTTGCTAGGTCTTGTATCCTGAGTACCTAGAACGATGTACTTATTAAACAAAGGAATAAGTGTATAACAAACATTTAGTAAACTGAACAATACCTAAGAATGTTTAGTTAACATACAATAAATGAATTTGCACCAGTTCCATCTTAAAGCAGCCGGGGCCCTTCCGTTTTCCATCTAGAAGGAAGCAGCTGCCCATGGAAAAGACAAAAGAACCACCTCCTCCTGGGCAGCTTTTTAAGTAGGCTGGGGTGTGGGCAGCTCACTTGATTAGTGTGTCTTTAATCTGAAACACCTGGGGCTATCCAATTTCCCCAGATTTGTTCAGAAACCCTTTGCCCTTTGGTGGAAGTTAAAAGAAAAATAAAGTATGTTTTGAATCTCAGTCCTGAGCTCCCAGAGATTCCTATGGAGTTTAGATTTATGGATTGCCTACTCTAATCTGTAATTATAGGCTCAACACGCATTTACTATTATTTAGTGTATTAAGTATTTACGTATTATGTATCATATCGTATCTTCTGTGTTTACCAACTGATTCATTACTTTAAAATGTACTCTATTACTATGTCCCGCTTAGAGGCAAAAATAAGAACCTATAATTATGATTTCAGATGTGCAGGGATCCATGTGAATGTGAGGAAGATACATAAATAGAGGGAAGAAAAGGCACAGGGACATAACAGAGAGATTTGAAGGTGACAGTAACAGTCAAGGATGCCTTTCTTCCTTCTAACGTGGGTCTTGGGAGGAGGGGTAGGGAGGATGGCTAGAGGCCAGTGGGTACAACCGGCACTGCGGAGTGTCCACACGTGGACAGTCTTGGAGGAAATGAGAAAACGAAGAAGCAGGCAATTTGGAAGGCCTTATTTGTTGTTTAATGTTCCTTAAAGGAACACTTGAGTTACATGAAAACTTTTAGCAACACACATCTCTAATTTATCTGGAAATTGACTAATGTTCTTGAAAGCCTCAGAGGCTGCCTTAGGTTGTGCTTCCAAAATGTGGCGTTACGTGGGATAAGAAAAGAAATCATAGAAGAAAATATTTTGCTTTCTTCTCATTAATTTCTTTCAACAAACCTTTAATAGGCACCCACTATGTACCAGGAAGTTTGCTCGGTGCTAGGTAACAAGATGCAGGTTGTGCCCTCAAAGAGAATGTTCAATTCTTTACATGGGTGGGAGTGGAGGTGTTAGTAGGTGGTGATGACAGTAATGCTCTATTTCCCTGATAGCTACTCTCTCTCTTTATTATTTTTTATTTTATTATTATTATTATTTTTGGCCGTGCTCTGTGAGGCATGCAGGATTCATGCCCCCTGCAGTGGAAGGGTGAAGTCTTAACCACTGGACCGCCGGGGAAGTCCCTACTCTCTCTCTTTAGTAGACGTGGTCTTAAGAGAAGATAAGTTTAGGTCAAAGGTCTATTTGATTTTAAGAGCCAAGTAAGCTGATCAAGAAATATTCACTAAGGGAATTCCCTGGTTGTCCAGTGGTTAGGGCTCCACATTTCACAGCCAAGGACACAGGTTTGATCCCTGGTGGTGGAAGTAAGATCCCACAAGCCCCACAGTTGAAAAAAGAAAAAGAAAAGAAAGAAAGAAAGAGAGAAGGGAAAGAAAGAAAGAGAGAAAGAAAGAAAGGAAGGAAGGAAGGAAAGAAAGAGAGAGAAATAAAGAAAGAGACAAAGAGAAAGAAAGCAAGAAAGAGAGAGAAAGAAAGAGAGAGAGAGAAATAAAGAAAGAAAGAGAGAAAGAAAGAAAGAGAGAGAGAAAGAAAGAGAGAGAGAAAGAAAGAAAAAGAAAGGGAGGAAGGAAGAAAGGAAAGAAAGAAAGAGAGAAATAAAAGAGAAAGAAAGAGAAATAGAGAGAGAAAGAAAGAAAGAAAGAAAGAAAAAGAAAGGAAGGAAGGAAGAAAGAAAGAAAAAGAAAGAAAGAAAGAAAGAAAGAAAGAAAGAAAGAAAGAAAGAAAGAAAGAAAGAAAGGAAGGAAGGAAGGAAGAAAAGAAAAAGAAAGAAATATTCACTGAATGGTGTCAGGGTTCTCTTTGCTTGCTCCATATGTTCCTGTGATCAGGGCAAATTGGATGAGGTTGGCAGAGAAGCTGTTCAGTAAGAGAACCACCAAACCAGCCCCTTTTCTTCCTGTGCTAACTTGGCTCGAGGGGGCCCACCGCAATGAGGGCACAGCATCCTTCCCCAGCTAATGAGAAAAGAGGTGCAGTAATTCCTTAAAAAACTGTCATTGCTATGGAAACGGTTTTCACCATTGCTGATGGTTGCAGCATCCTCCTACTGCATTCAAAGGACACGTTGCTACTTCTAATCAGAGCATCAGTACAATTCCACCTGGCAATGGTTTTCTTTTGTGATGTTTTTTCAAGAAAACTGCCTTGTTTGGGCCACCCCCTCCCTGGAGCAACAGTGCCCTGAGCCCAGGGGAAGGTGAAGGAGGAGCAACCCTCAGCCCAGAGGCAGGGAGAGGCAGTGTGGGTGATGTGTGACCTTGGCCATCCAAGAGTGTTTCCCCAGTGAAGAGAAACTTCAGAATCTCCCAAGGCCTCCTACCCTAATCCAGTGACCTCTTCCCATTCCTCATCCTCCCTCAAGGTGCTGCAGTGTTTGATACCTCGTCCTCTGCCTTCCTCCTGCAACTCTTTCCTCTCTGGGAAGCTGTGACAGAGCTCAGACCCTCTCTCCTCCTACCCCCCCGGCTGCTCCTCCTCTGTAATGTTCCAAAGATTCTGTCTTCCAACACTAAGCACAGGATTGAGAGAGTGTGGCTGACCTAGGAGGGCAAACCTACCCTCCCCCAGGGAGACACCCTGGAAGATCTTCTGTGGGGCAGATGTGTCCTTAGACGTTTAAAGTCTCTAAGCCTGAGAAGATGGTGTTTTAATATTACCCCCCCACACACACGCCATACATACACATGCACACAAATTCTATGTGTGCTGAAATTAAATCTTTCCAGATTTTCTGATTGTAAAACTCTGCCTATCTAGAATTCATCAAAGCAAGTCTTTCTTTTTCCTTCCTCTGTTGTCTTGTTTTGTGCCCCTGCTTTGCCTGGGACTTCACCCAAGTTCTGCCTGCCTGTCAGGAAATCCCACCCTGTCTGGTCCATGCTTCCAGACAGTAACCCTGAGACAGCAGCAGACCATAGCTGCATGGAAACCCAGCTGCTCTTGTAAACTTGTTGATTGCCTTGGCAGAAAGTGGATTTCAGGGCAAAGTCCGAGTCTGCTCAGAAATACCCAAGTGATCCGCACGCAGATCACAGGACTTCTGATAAGACATGACGTATACCGGCGACATGTTTAAAAGTAAGAACAGCAAAACACCAGAAAAGTTCACAGAGCTGACCT